GAATCAAAGAAACAAGAGATGCTGTATGAGAAGTCCTGGCTCTGCAATTTACTTTCTACATGAGCTTGAGGAAATCACAACCACTTTTGGCCTGTTTCTTCATTAGCAAAACGAGGGATCTGATTTAGATCTAAGGGCCTTAATAGCTCTAAATCCTATGATCTTAAATACAAATTTCTACTGATGACAACCTATTTTATTCAACTGTATTGGTCTATGAGAATACGACCTTCCACATTTTATAGATTTTAGGGTCCTCTATAGCTTGAATCTAGTGGCTCTAACCACTTTCAAATATTTGATTATATAAAGCTCAAAAAAATACTAGAAGATCTCTTGCCTCCAGAGCTCTTTAGATCCTGTCGTAAGTGATGAGTGTCTATCTTTACAAAACTATTTACTCATTTCACCAATAGAAAATCCTCAAAATTATTTCCAAAAATTGTCTATCACATATTTAAGAAAAGAAACTATTTTTTCCGAATAATAAAATTCTGGACATTCCTTCAAAACTCTATGCAAACTTTCTTCTCAAACTGACTAGTATCTAATCCTATTACCTTGCATAATAATCAAATAGGTTTTAGGTTTTATTCCACTACTGGTCTCTGCTATACTATGAGAATTCAATTCAAGTCAACAAATGTTTTAATAAGCAAGATCAAGGTGCTGCAGATACAAATAAAAGAATGAAATGGTCCTTGATCTCAAGGTACTAACATATACACTATTAAGCAAAAGCAAAGTAAGTCTGGGGACCCCTTACATGCTTTAAAATGCATAAAATAAGATATATAAGATTTAAAAGAAAATGAATAATACTAAATATTGAAATAAGGTTATCAAAATATTTTTAAAATAAATTCATAAATCCCAGATTAAGAACTCTTGCTCTATATCTGAATAATGGCCGCTGACTTTTGCTGTGTCCAAAAAATTAACCTCACAACAGTCAATTGAGCGATTAATGTCCAAACATATCTGGGATTAGGGTTAGTGTTAGAAAGGAATTTAGGATTAGAAACAAAGCAAGCAGTGCTACAAAAACAACATATACAATGAGTACAACAATGTAAATGGAAAGAACAAGCACAACAATTAAAACCAAATGGAGTGGTATTATAATGATCAAGCGTGGCCCCAAATTAAAAAACACTTTTTCCTCTCCTTTGCAGAGGTGTGGAACATTGCAGAGAAAGTCCGCGATTTTTTCCCCTCCTTTCTCTTTTTGAAAAAAATTCTTTGTTATATGGGATGTTTCTCTGGGAAGTGGGGGTAGGGGAATACCGAAGGAAATATAGTCAAAGTATAAACAAAACATGTCAATAAAAATCAATTGTTTTTTAAAAGTGGAGAATTGTATCTTTTTTTGGGGGGCAAAACAATCAAGTTAAGTGACTTGCCCAGGGTCACACTGCTAGTAAGTGCCAAGTGTCTGGGGCCAAATTTGAACTCCAGTCCTCCTAACTCCAGGACTGGTGCCCTATCCACTGTGCCATCTAGCAGGCCCCAAGAACTGTATCCTGTTACCAAAATAATGTATAATCATCTAATAATAGAAGCTTATACCTATATAGTGCTATGTGGTTTTAAAAAAAGCACCTTATATATGTCATCTTGCTTCAAGTATTAAATTGCTAAACTAAGATACAAATCTATTTCAAACTACAACATTCATTTGGCCTCCATCAATCTCTACAGTGTAACAACCATTATTAAACACTGAGAGAATTTTCACTTCAGCTCTGCCTGAAGCCCATTAATACCAGGGTGTTAGGGTATTAAGAGTATACTTTACTCTAAACTCAAAGTTTTCCACATATGATCCTTGTTCCTATTTCCTGACGCAACATAACATTACTAATATTGCCCCATTAAAAAAAATATATTGATGTTTAATGATCACATCACATGACAGTAAAGTCTATATTGTCTAGGCTGAAACGGAGAAGAGCTATTTACCCTTTTGTAGAGTGGAAATTTTTTTAAAGAAAGTAGGGGGAGTCAAATCTAGGTTTCACTAGGCTTTCGTAATCAATGGTGATTCACATGGGTAAACCATTTAGTGTTCTACAGAGAGAGCTCAATGAGGAACCATTAACTATTAGTTAAATAGAAATTTAAACAAATCAACATCTCTCATTCCCATAATCACCCAATATGTCATACCAAAGTAGAAGCTTTTACTTTTATAACAATGATATACTTTAAGAAAAATAAACTGAATTTTAAAAATAGACAAAACTTATGCCTAGATATTTCTTCATCCCTAAGACTAACATAAATCTTATATATCTATCTGATGTCTCAACTTTTCTGGAACCATTATTCATCAAATTCTTATATATGCTATTCAGGGAACAATTTGACTAATCAATTAGTCATTAGGCTCAGTCATTACTTTCTTTTTTAAGCTAAACAACAATATTCTGTAAGGTTTCAAAGGAAATTAGTCATGGTCTTCTGCCAGTTTTATTTGAATGCAAAGGGCCCTACACAGGGAGGACAAAAGCAGTCAGTCCCTAACTCAACTCTATTAGAGTTACATCATTTGTTCCCTTAGCCTTTCCTCCAATATGACCTAAGACTCATAAACTAGACTCCCAAAGACTCATTTTACCGTACTCAATATGAAGCACCATTGAGAAGCAGGCATTTGGGGAGACTGTCTCAACAGTCTTTTTTCAACCTTGTATATACCTGAATACAATGTAGAAAGTTATCTATTTATCTCATGTATAAAATGAAATATAAATCAGCTCATGCTTGTTCAAATAATTCTTAAAGGTACTCAGACTCAATCTCAATATAATTCCAAAAAAAATCTAATGAGTTCCTTTTCGAAGCTATTTTGTGAGATACAAAAAGTAAACAACACCCAGTCTTTAACCTAAGATTTATAATCTAATAAGGATATCTGCACAACCCACAAGCACCTACTATGTACCACACACTGCTAAGCATGAAGGATACAAAGGCAAACATACATTACCTGTCCTCAATGAGCTTATATTGTAAGAGAATTTAACAATGAAAGAGAATATAAAGAACCTGATAATCCAAATGGGCAGATTCAAAGCAGAGAGAAATCACTTACAACTAGAGAGATCTTAGATCTCCAGGACCACCAAGTGAGTGGCACTTGAAGTGAGCCTTGGATTTCAATAAGGAAAGGTAGGAATGGGAGAGGAAGAAGCCTTAAGGAGTGTGAGCCAAGGTCTATAACTGGGAGATGAATTTATGAAAAAAATTTGGTAAAGGCTTATTATGTGCCAATCACTATGCCAAGCACTGGGAATACAAATACAAAAAGAAAGATGGTCCCTGACTTTAAGGAGTTTACATTCTAATAGGGGAAGACAACACATAGAGAAGGGTATATTGGACTAGAAAGTCACCATGACAGAAAGTTCAACGATCAATATATCCTTTCCAAAAATGGCAGTATTGATATGATTACTGTTCCCAGAGTTATAAGGGGAGGGGATTGAGATCAGGGATTAGGAGGACGAAGGGAACTATCAAATCTGCACATGACCCTGAACTGGAAATCAAATGAAATAGGAAATGGACACCAGTCATTTACCTTAATGAATTATCTCCTTAATGATTTACTTTTGATATTTTAATATAGCTTTGTTATTTCAATAATAAAAATTACTTTCATTCACATAGCTTATTTTGGTTTTGAGTGGAGTATATGCTAAAATATGTCAAAATGATAAGCATTTTCTTTTAATAGCACAACAAAAGACATTTACTTTGCTGCTATCAAAGAAAAATGCCTAAGAAAAATTACTGATAAGATAGAACACAGTCATAAATGAAAGATAAAAGAAAATCTGACAATTTAATTAAAATTTTACCCTGGACCTAGAAGGGACTGAAGAGGTCACCTAGTCCTATCCCTTCATTTTACAAATGAGGAAACTAAGGCTCAGAAAGTTTAAGCTGGCAGCTAAATGGCACAGTGGGTAGAGAGCTGGACCTAGAGTCAAGAAGAGCTAAGTTCAAATCTAGCATCAGACATTTACTAGCTATATGGGCCTTAGCAAGTCACTTAAACTGTTTGACTCAGTTTCTCCACCTAAAAAATGTGGACAGCATAGCACCTACCTCTCAGGGTTGTTGTGAGGTTAAAATAAGTTACTGTTTACTACATGCTTTGCACTTGAATGAAATTTCCATATGAACGAAGCTTATCCCTTCAAGCACCAAAACTTTTTTGTCCTAATCAATTTTGAACAAAATTTTTCAGAAATGTTTTATACATTTCCCTGAGCTTAAACTGAGGATATTATAGAAAGTATAACTTTTTCTTAATAAAACAAGATCATAATCACAAATATTCATTGCAGTCCTACAATTCTGCTCTGTGCTTTTTTTTTTTAATTTAAGTTTCTCAATTTCTTCGTTGAATGTCTGGTTCTCAGCCTATCTCTAACAGTGTCCCCTTCCCACCACCACTGCTGGTTCAATGTTTCAAGTTGAGAAAACAGATAACTAAAGTTTAAGAAGTTCACGTTAAATAAAAATTAAACCGTAAAAGGCTCTAAGAGTTCAGGAGTAAAGCACTTCAATTTAAATGTAGGGATTTTGTCATAATCGTTTCAAGTGCTCAGGGGTCTTGTTTGTGGGATTTCAATCCAAAGGGTTGAAGTTCCTAGATAAGCAGAGGACTTATACCTAATTTTCCTGTTCTACTAGATTGAAATGCTTAGAAAATCCTCTGTTCCCTTCCCAAGTAAATAAAACAATGTTTTCCATTTGGGAAGTTTGCTGCCTTCTACGAGTGTGTATTAAATTACTCAAGCAATACCAAGGAATATTAAAAAGAAGGTTGCACAATTTAATTCTTATAATAGAATTCTACTGTTATGCAAATATAAGGAGTTTGTTTTAAAAGTCTGTTTGTGGATCCCATTCTCATTATTGGGTCTCTCAATGGAAAACATAATAAAATTCACACCTAAGCCAATAAGTAAATAAAAACTACTTACCTCTTATGCATACCCAACAATCATCTTTTTTGTTGTGTTTTATAAGTTCCTCTTCAGTTACTTCAATTAATCTTCCTTTCAATCCTGTGAGATCCTTTCCACTTTTGGTCAGTCGAATCCAATCCATAAGACTTCTGCCTTGCTTTAAAGGTACCTCAAAAGGAATAAGAATTTCTTCTCTTAAGTCAACTAAAAATTTTCCTATTTGTGGATGACTCTTCCCCAAGGCTTCCCTTTTCCCTTTCCCTGACTTATGTTCACTTTTTGTTCTTATTAACTCCCTAGAAGCGAGCTGATAATCAAATTTGAGAATTCAGATATCTAGTATAGGCAAATTTTGTTATCAACTACTCTAAGGAGCTGTTCACATTATACTGTAGAATTTTATACTGAAAACTGAAATAATGGGTAGACTTATAAATGTCATCATCTAAATAGCTTTTTTCATAATAGTATCTAACAGGAAAATATTTGAGGAAAGTGAAATAAACTTAAAATGGTTTCGGGGACAACTGTCTATATAAAAATCTGGATTTTACAAAAATTGCAACTATAAACCAACCAGTAAAGAAGCAAAATCTATGATGAAATAATGGAAAAGAGTAAAACTAGCACTGTTCAAAGCTTTGAGAGGGTCTTTATAGAAATAATACATTTTCAGAATCTTCATCAGCAGGAGTCTTTAACCTTGGATCTAGGAACTTTTAAAAAAAAAGTATTTTGATAACTGTATTTCAATATAATTTATTTCCTTTGTAATACTGTATATTTTATTTTATCTATTTAGAAATATTCTGAGAAGAGGTTCACAGGCTTCACTAGACTGTCCAAGGGGTTCATAACACAAATAAAGTTAAGAACTTTTGTTTAACAGCAAAAAGGCATTATACATGCTTAATAAATGTTTGATGAATGAACAAGTATATGAGTGATAGAAGAAATTTCTTTATAAGAAATTTCCACAGGAAAGTATAAAGTCTGTAACAATAGAACTGTAGAATAAAAAATAATATAACAGCAGAGACTGATCAGAAAAGGTCTTTACTAAATCATAGTGATTAGATAACTCAAAATTAATAAATACTTTGGTTTTCTCCCAATGTCATACCCTTCTCATTCTATCATTTTTCAAGCTAAATTGGCCACATAAAACATCTGTGTTTGTCACATATTGACAGAATTCACAGATGCTGAGGAAATGGAATAGCTCCCTAGGATAAAAGAGGGTTTAAGCATAAAAGAAATTAAACCTGTTTTCATAGTGGAAAACTGCTATACATACTATGTATATTTGAACAATCTCATATTTAATATTTTGTAGGAGAAAATATGGCTAACATCAAAATTCTCTGCAGAACAGTTTGTGAAGCACTGATCTACGTCATTCTATCTACGTCAATCTCCTTCATAATATAATTTGGCTACCATCTGACTAAGTAGAGAAAGTAATGAGCCAGAAAATAAACTCTTCCACTCCGAGACAAAATCAGATCTTCCTCATTAAGCCAGGCTTCCAATCATCCTTCCCTTCCCTTTTTATCTAGCTAACAGGGAAACAATGAGGTTATTAAATTATTCAAAATTAATTTACAATTTCTCCCAAAATCCATGCACACACAGCAAAATCATTCAAACAGGAGGAGGAACTTGGCTATATTTTGATAATTAGTAGCATTACTTCATTGATGCAAATAATATATAATAGTATCAGCTATGTGGATATGATCATATAATAACACTTAGAGCTGTACATAGCTGTTTACATGTTACCTCCCCCATTAGACCGTGCTTTCCTTGAGAGCAGAGACTGATTTTTTGCCTTTCTTTTTATCCCCATTCTGGTTTGTAACACTATGCTAAGCACAGTGCCTGACACATGGTAGGTATTTAATAACTGCTTACTGATTTGACTTACAAGCTACCCAATAATGTTGGTTTACCTCTAGTCAAACCACTTCCTTGGATGCTGGACAAATCACTTTTAAAAATGTCCATTATCTCCCCAATCTGCTAAAAACTCTCACTTGATCTGTCCATCCCTACTAGCTATCACCCCCATGTCTCTTCTGCCCCTTTATGGCTAAACTCCTTGAAAGTCAACCTAAAATTGATACCTCCATTTCCTTTTTTTTCTCACTCTCTTAACTCCATAATCTTACTTCCCACCTCACCATTCAATCAAAACTGCCTTCTCTAAAGTTACTAATGATCTCTTAATCGCCAGTTCTAATGGCCTCTTTTCAATCTTCCTTCTTCTTAACCTCTCTCTGGTCTTTGACATTACAATTATCTTCTTCTCTTTTATATTCTCTTCTCTCTAGGTTTCCAGGAGTCTACTCTACCCTGGTCCTCTTCCTGCTGTCTGACCACTTCTCAGCTTCCTTGCTGGATTTCTGTCCAGGTCACATCCCCCTAACTGTGAGTGTCCCAAAGGGCTCTGTCCTGGACCCTCTTTTCGTCTCCCTCTATAATACTTCAGTTGGTGACTTCATCAGCTTCCACAGTTTCAATTATCTTCTCTATGATGATGATTCTCAGAGAGATTTATGCAGCCCTAATCTCTCTCCTACCCTCCAGATTCATGTCTGCAAATGCCTATCAGACTTTTCAAACTGGATGTCCCATAGATATCTTAAATTTAATTAAGTTCCAAACTGAACTCAATATCTTTCTGTGCTTCTGAACTTCCCTATTACTGTCAAAGGCACCACCATCCTCCCAAGCATTCAGACTGGAAACCTACAAGTCATCCTCAATCTCTCACTTTCTCACCTACCCTATCCAATTTGTTGCCAAGTCCTGTTGGTTTTGCCTGTGTAACAACTCTGGTATATTGCCCCCTTCTCTCCTCTGACTCTTCCACTAACTTGATGCAGACCCTCATACCTTCACATCTGGATTATTAGAATATCCTGCTGGCTGGTCTCCCTAACTCAAGGCTCCACCCACTCCAGTTCATCCACCACTCAGCAAATTTATCCTCCTAAAGTACAGATTTGACCACATCACCTCTCTATTCAATAAACTCCAGTGACTTCTTATTACTTCCAGGACGTAATATATAATCCTCTACCACTCAAATCTCTTCAGACCTGGCCTCCTCCTACCTTTCTAATCTTGTATACCTTAACTTACTCCTCATCACATACTTAGGCAGCCAAGTGGCACAGTGGATACAGTGCTAGGCCTGCACATCAGGAAGACCTGATTTCAAATCTGGCCTCAGACACTAGCTGTGTGACCTCAAGCAATTAATTTAACCTCTATTTGCCTCAGTATTCTCTACTGTAAAATGGGAATGATGATAATAGCATCTACTTCCCAGGGTTTTTACAAAGATCAAAAGACATAATATTCGTAAATCACTTATCATAGTGCCTGTAGTAGGCATTGAACCTCTTTCTTGCACTGTTCTAACTTTCTGCAGTACAGTCCTTATTTGGATGTAGTAAGCATTATATAAATGCTTTTTATCATTATTAGTATAATTATTATTATATTCTGCAATATAGTGACACTGGCCTCCTTGCAATAGCTGACAAAAGGGAGTTCAACTCCTAACTCCATGCCTTTTTATTGACTGTTCCCCAAGTCTGGAATACTCTACATCCCCCTATTTCCACTTCCTGGTTTCCCTGGCTTCCCTCAAGTCCCAGCTAAAATTCCATCTTCTAATGGAAACCTTTCCTGATCCCCCTTGGCTCTACTGATTATCTCTAATTTATCCTGTATTCATCTTGTTTGTACATAGCTGTTTTTATGTTGTCTTTTCTACTGGACTGTGAACTCTTTGAGAGCAGGGGTTGTCTTTTGCCTTTCTTTGTTACCTACAGCACTTAGTACAGTTGCCTGGCACATAGTAGGTACTTAATAAATGCTTACTGGTTGACTGGACCTCTGTTTCTTCTTTAGAAGGAGGGAGTTTTGCTATATAGACTTCTAAGATCCCTTCAGCTCCTACACCCATGATCCTAATCCCATCCTTTGCCAGTGCCTTCTCCAAATTACTTTGTGTATGGATTAAATGTGATGGCATATGTACAACCCCTTGCAAATCTTAAAGTACTAATATAAACGATTATTACGCATTTTGAATGAACTTGTGTTCTTATCTGTTTATCTATCTTATAGTTTTCCTGCAACTGAATGTAATTGGTAGAATCAGGGGTGGGGAATCTTTGGCCTCAAGGCCACATGTGGCCCTCTAGGTCCTCAAGTTGGGCCCTTTGACTGAATCCAAACTTCACAGAACAAATCCCCTTAATAAAAGAATTTGTTCTGTAAAACTTGGACTCAGTCAAAAGGCCACACCCAAAGACCTGCAAGGCCACATGCAGCCTTGAGGCCACAGGTTCCCCACCCCTGATTTAGTTTTTTTTTTTTAATTCTTATCCTCAAAATCTAGCAATTAGTAGTTGCTTGATAAATGAGTACAACAAAGATAAAGATGATGATGATTATAAAGCTGATGAAAATGACGATGATGATAACTACCATGTGCAGCACAGTGGAGAGAGTGCTGGACCTGGAGTCAGTAAAACCTGAGTCCATATACAGTCTCTGATGCTTCCTAGCCCTGTGACCCTGGGCAAGTCACTTAATCTGGGGGATAATAATAGCACCTACCTCAAAGGGTTGTTGTGAAGGCCAAATGAGATAATATTTGTAAAGTGCTTAGCACACAGTACCTGCCATACAGCAAACACTATATATTTGTAAAGTGTGTGGTACATGGTACCCAGCACATAGTAATCACTATATAACTGTTGGCTATTATTAACAGCTTTACAATACAGCACTTTAAGGTTTGCCAAGCCCTGTTCTATGACCTATGATCCCAAGAACTGGGGATGGGAGAAAAAGTCAATGCACTGCCACTCCTACTTTCTTCTCAATCTTCTTGTCAGTCCCTCTCCTCTTCCTCCAAGACCCCACTCAGGTTCTGCCAACTTAACCTGAAAGTGTTCGATCAGATCCTCGAATGCCTCCTTGCACGTTCCCTGAGCCTCTTCCGGACTGTTCACACCTCCAGCCCTTACATGGACGTGTGTCCCCTTCCACCTCCCCCTACTCCCCACTAAAACCTCCCTATGCTCACAAGGTATTTAATAGGGCCTGCAGCCTATCCATCCATCAAGGAATCAATAAACGTTTTTCAAGCGTCTATTATGTGCCAGGCACCGTGCTAATCGCTGGGGACTTTACGAAAGGCAAAGGCAGTCGCTGCCCTCAATGAGCCCTCGGTCTAGGTCGGCAGCCCAACGCCCGCCCCAGAGTGGCCCCTTCAAAAAGGTCTGTTGGCCGAGGTCGGCCGGAGGGAGAAAGCGGGCCGGGGACGGTGAATAAAGGAGGGAGAAAGGGCAAGAGAGCGACCAAGGGCAGGGAGGAGCCCCGGGGACGGGGACGGAGAGGAGCGGCCGGGAGAAGGAGGCGCAGAGGAGGCCGCGCCCGGGTGGGGCCGCAGGAACATCCGCAGGGCCCGGCCTTCCCCGGCTTACCTTGCTGCGCCCCCCCGAGGCGGCGCGCTGCTGCGAGCCGGGGGCGGGGAAAGCCGGCGAAGGAACGTTCAGCATCCTGGGACCAGCGGTGCGGACTGCGATCGGCCGGGGCTCGCCGGGTCCTCCCACTCACTGCTCCGGCTCGGCGGCCGGGCAGCGGCCAAGCCCCCGGCCCACTTCCGGGGTCGTCAGAGCGTCTCCAGGTGAGGGGCGCACCATGACGCAGCACGTCGCCGCCACCGCCGCAGCCTCCGCGGGCGGGGCTGAGACGCATGAGCAGAAGGGAGGGCTCGGGAAGGGGGAGAGGTGGGGAAACCGGGACAGCGGCTAAGCGAGGGCGGAGCCAGGGCGCAAACTGCGCATGCTCTCAAGCTGAACGTCTCCTGAACAGAATCCAACCTCAGCACCGAAATCCAGAGACAGCGACTTTGCGCAGAGCCGAGCCAATGAGGACAGTGGAAGCTTGTCCCAGTGCCTGGTGCTGACAGAATGTCTTTCACCTACAACGCAGTCCTGCCTTTCCAGATTCTCCTTTCGCTCTAAGCACTAGTCATCCTCCGGAAGAGCATCCATTCTCGTCCTTATCAATCAATCAACTAGCATTTCTTAAGGGCCTAGGGCCAGGTAGGGTTTTCAGACAATGAAATGAATAATCACTACTGTTATTTACTGCTTTAACAATATGAGAGGTCCTTGCTCTTCAGAAACATATTACTTCACATAACAACAACATTCATACAGCGCCTACTATGTGCCTGGCACTGTGCACTCTATACAATTATTATTTCATTTGATCCTCGTAACAACCCTGGCAGGTAGCTGCTAATATTATCCCCATTTTACAGATGAGAACAATAAATAATGATAATAACAATATTTACATAGCACCTACTATGTGCCAGGCACTGTGCACTTGTTACAATTATTATTTCATTTGATCCTTACAACAACCCTGGGAGGTAGCTGCTATTATTCCCATTTTACTGATGAGGATAATAATGATAATAGCTAACATTTCTATAGAGAGCTTACTAGGCCAGACACTGTGCTAACTGCTTTACAATTATCTCACTTGATCCCCACAACAACCTTGGAAAGTAGGTGCTATTATTATTATTATTGTAAGATGAGGACATTTTGCAGATGAGGACACTGCATAGGCCTTACTTTCTAGAAGTTTACAATCATTTACAAACAGGATCACAGCATTTTAAAGCTGGAAGGGACCAACGAGCCCATCTAGTCCAAATTTCACATTTTATAGATGATTCCCAGAAAGGATAACTGACTTGTTTAAAGTCATATAGGTCATAAACAGGAAAGTCAGGACTTAAATCCAGCTTCTCTAATTCTGAATCTAATGTTCTCTCTTTCATCTATTGAAAAAAATTCCCCAACCCCCCCCCCCCAAAATCCCTAATGTGAGGTTTGAGATATTTGTATTTCTAGGTACTATTTTAAATTTTAAAGAAGGAGCCTGGCCTACTGATTCCAGTCTCATAACCTGGAAGATGTAGGCTCATATCTGGCCTGATACACCCAGCAGTTGTGTGACCTTGGTTCAGTCACTTAACCTCTTTCTTAATTCCTGTGGGCGATTAATAGTTGCCAATCTGTATCAGTGGTGAGGAGGTGAGTGAGGGTAGGAAGAGACAGGGAAAGTGTCCTCACACATGAAATTCCCTGCACAGATGAAATCACAGATATGGAATTTATATTTTGAATTCTTATCTATTCTAACTCCCCAATCAACTCCTTCTTCAGCCCTGTAGTCTTACTCCCAGGAATTTCTGGATTTTCCCCAACCAGAAAGGAGAAACAGTTCATCAGTCTTATAACTTCATTTGGCTATAACAGCAGATTAATATAAGTATATAGAGCACAAACATAACTAAGAATTTCTAACTACCTAGAGCTCAGATTGGTCATCCTTTGTTGCTTTCCTAGACATCACTCAGACTTCAACCCTAAGAATATAACACAGAAAGGTAGGGAAAAAAATAAGTAAAAGAAAAGCAGCTCCAAACCTTAGAATAGTCAGTCAATCGGTCAACAAACATTTTTTAAGTGCCTGCTATGTGCCACGCACTGTGCTAAGCACTGGAGATACAAAAAGAGGCAAAAGACAGTCCCTGCTCTTAAGGAGCTCAATGATCTAATGTCTCATGGTTCCTTGAGACCCCCTTTCCATCCTTTGTCAGGTTCTGAACTTAAGAGCATGGCTTGAACTTGACATTTGTCTTTTTTATCTCCCTTTATGCTTCAATACCTCAGTTGGAACCCAGATCATAAGGAGTAGAAAATTAAAGTTCTGGTGTACAAATTATTTGCCAGAAATAACAGTATTATTCTAGAAAATTAGGCAAAGAATGAGTGTGTGTGTATGTGTAGTGTCATTTTTCAACTTTGTGTCCCTATGTGCCTGATACATAGCAGGTGCTGAGTGATGAACTGAATTTGTTCAAAAGATTCTATTAGTTATGCTTTTTTGAATGCTCATCATGATCTCAAGAGCAGGTTTTCATTTGTCACTATGCTGAGATAGAACAATAGCATTTCTGTGCCAGTCTATAAGTGAATATTTTTAAATTATAATTTTATATATATATATATACAAAATTCATAATAATTACATTTTTTCATTTCAATGTCTGAAGTTAGAATGAACTCTGTATGTGTGTGTGTGTATTGGTGGGTGGGTGTGTATATAGACACACACATACATACATACATGGAAGTATAAAGAAAATAAACATAACTAAGAAGAGCAGTTTGATATATCGTACAAAATGTTATATAATAATGTAATTATTATGGATTTATTGATATACAGAGGGAGAAAGAAAAAGAGAGAGAGAAAGAGAGGACATTTCAACTCTAGATATTGAAACAATAAAAAGTAACTACTATAGTTTTCTTAATTTACTACACACTCAGGAAGCTTAATTTTAAAATATTTGGACTATTACAGGTTTATTTATTTGAAAGGTGGTTATATAAAGTGAATTTGCATCATTTTTTGTCAAGAATTTTTTAAAAATCCATACTGGATCCCAAGTCTCAGTTATACTATTACTTGAAAAGGTGTTTCTCTTAATAACAAACATGTTTGGCAGCACAAGGAACTTTTCTTCATAGTCTAATTTAAGAATCAAAATAAATTATTGGATCATTAAGTTAGCACTGGCTGGGCAGAGTATATATACTGATTAAATCATGAAACTTTTAAAGGAGCAATGAAGTACCTAATTATATGTCAGCTGACATCTAGAAAATTCTATAAAGTCTAGAAGATAATACCAGATGATGTAAGATCCAGATTTAAAACTGAAATATTTGATTGATTCACTCATTTATTCAAGAAATATTTACTTGCAAAGCATAGTGCTAGACTGGGGATACAAAGATGAACAATGACTTGGATATTGGAACTCTTATTTAGAATTATGGAATATAAAAAATGTAATGAAGGAGTCTAAATCTGTGATTTCATCCACACAAGGAACTCCCAGTGTGGCTTACTCCCTTCAATAGAATAGATCAGGAATTCTTGAGTAATTTATAGACTTGGTTGCCTAGGACAAAAAGAGATTCAGTGATATGCCCGTGATCATATAGCTAATATGTAACAAAGACCTGTGGGATCATATGTCTGTAGCTAGAAGGGATCACAGAAACCACCTAGTCCAGTGTCCTCATTTTTCAGATGAAGAAACTGAGGCCCAGGGAGTGACTTGTCTAAAGTCACACAGGTAGTAAGTATCAGAGTTAGGATTTGAACGCAAGTCTTCTGACTCCAAAGTCCGAATTTTATCCAGTGTATCATGCTGGAAAAACCAGAACTTCCTCTTTCTTGACCCCAAAGCTGACTCTCTATCTACTATGCTATAGTTCTTCTCTCAAAACTTTTAATAAAAAATCCCAAATTGTCACAACTTAACTTTTAAAACTCCAAAATGATAAAAATGCAATGAAAAGAAATGTGCTTGTTTCTGATAAGGTGCTAGAATTATACCTAGGAGTAGGGAAGCATGACAAAGGCCAAACTACCCTATCAATTGCAAAATACTTTAACATTTTATTAATAACTTACACACAAATAAATTATATTTTAAAAACACTATTATACATTTGTACATTGAAATTTTAATGCTATAAACTTTGAATTCTTTCAAAAAGAATCAATCCAATTCATTTCCTGAATCCTGAATCAGCTCCTCCTCCTCCTCCTCCTCTTCACTATCAGAATCTTCATAAAATGAAATTGTAGCTTGAATTGGAAAATTTTTCAGAAGAGATTCTGCTTCTTGATACAAGAAATCATAACATTTTGATTTGGGCCAAAATAGTCTGAAACAAGTGGACAACATAGCATGCTTTATTCTTCATGTACATTTGTTTTCAGAATCCTTACACTCGTGAAATTCTCCCATTGATGCCCCAAGCTTCCATTGATCCAACAGCTGATAAATGCCCTTAGTATGGTTCCATGAGGTTAGTATTAGCATCCTAGCTTTCATATGATAACATTTCAACAGTATCTTAATAACTGATTTTTTGCTACCCCATCCCACCCCAAATAAGGTTCTAAGTTGAAAACATACAACTACTTAAAGAACTGACCAACATTGCCTTCCTTTCACAGAAGTATAAGGTCAGCATTTTCACTTGAATCAATGGTTCAGGATTTATGTTATTCCAACCACACTGGATATATGTATACTTACCAAAAACAGTTTTATTTCCTAATTTCTAAATAGTTTAAAGAACAATTTAACCTGACACAAGGCTTTGAGTTCTGATGACAGCAAAGGTTGAATTTTGAATTATTACAAATTTTGCACAAAGACAATATAGATCTAAACCTTGCTTGAAATTAATAAATATTGCCTGATTTGCTATGTCCATGGTCAACAAATATGATCATGGAGACTGTAAGATAGAGCCAGACTAAAAAGCAAAAACAGAATTTTGTTTTTGAAAAGCATTCATAATTAGGCATAAAGGTAGGACCACTTCCCATCCCTTAAAGTAATCACTGTTGCTCATGGTTCAGATTGGGTTTGCTGTATATAAAATTTTCTCAACTTAATTTTGTGGATGAAATAG